ACAAATGGAAGACAGCGTGCTCTTATGCAAAGGCGAACCGGACTAGCTGGGACAACAGTGAACGAAAACCCAAAATCGTGAATTAACATCGACTGATTGCACGGCAGGCATTAGCAATTGGCCAAATGAGCGAGCGACGCAAACACCGGCCGAGTGGACAGAATGCGAGCCCACTCGAACTAAACCGGCTTGCACGACCCGGACAAAGCTCAACGTGGACATGGGCATGGCATGCGTTGAGTGGACCAACCACAACGGACAAACGACCCGTACGGACCAATGAGCATAGGCAGACGATATATGTAGCTACATCGCGAAACTGCAGGCGGAAAGCTATCACATCCAAATATTGTCTCGAATTTATGCACAATATTGGTGGCCCTACAGTTCATAGATGGTAGATTTCGTTTACTGCCCAGCTTTTGCTTTTGGTTTCCTAGGGCTTCACTACACTGACCACTCATCTACTCTTCTTCTAATGCTTGAGCAGCGTCACATCTCTAGCTAACTTACTATGATAACCTTAGCTTTAAAACCGCGTTCACTTCATCTAATGACTCTGCCACCGAAGAAAATAGCTATGTTCTTTTCCATTCTGGGCCTATCATATCACGAACGTCTGGATGTCTTCCTGTCAGATTCTGCGTGGAAAATCTCCCTTCATTCGCTACCGCAATCGGGACAGTAAGATTACTTTAGTACTGTTTTCTTCGTTCTCTTTGTGCTCGAGCTAGTTATGGAAGTTTTCTTGTTGTTTGTCTCTTTCGCACTAGTGTATTTGTTAAGTAATATTTTGATGAATGTAAAATACATTTGCGATGTCACCCTCTTTGCTACAAATTCTATCGTTATATAGATACCGATTGGCAGCCCGCGCTGGTCACCGTCTGCTCAGCTTGAGTTTCACACCTTCACAGTAGAAGATAGTACTTCAAGACTAAGCTGACCTGCCTCCGATTCCCGCAAACGTCGGGATTTGTTGTAATTTTCCTTATCGATCAAAGACCTTGTCACCGTATGGATCAACGGCATGACGGTTACATGTCAAACACACTTGAAAATAGGACTCTGACTAACAAGGCTCACCGAGAACTAATCCTATTTTAGGGTGCTTTGTACCGACGTCCTTTAGTTGTTGATCTGTGATAGTCTAGAAACCGCAAATCGAAAACGAATGTCTAGTCACCTTTTTCGAACGCGTTTTGACCGCTTGCCTCGGTGTGCGTTCTTTTGAGAAAAATCCCTCTAGGCAGTCGCATACTCATCATCATCAACTGCAGTACATCAGCCATTTGAACTGACGCTTCGCTGCCATACCACCATGAGGACCTATGAAATAAAGAATAAGAAGAGGGAGAGAAGGGGACTTACCTGAAAATCTTAATGCCCTAAACAAAGTGCAGTGCGTCTTGATACGCTTGCTTGACCGAGGGCTGAGACAATTTCTCAGTTCTTAATCGGAGGAAACGCTTGTTGCACCTCCCGGTAAAGTACATGGAGAAACGACAGCGTACCAGTGCATGATCAAATTTGACACAGGTACTCCAGTACAAACGGCAGTCCAGGATGGAACCACGGCATCTGTAACGTATGGCTGCGTGGTCGATTTGGGTCCATCGCTGGCCAGCTACAAGTGGACGCCAAGTGGCACTTCGGCGCCCACTGTGTCTAAAAGCAGTGCTAGTAAGAAACAACTGGTGCTCCGCATACAGTTTCAGCAGACGCTCGCCGTTGTCAGTCCGTTCGGAGTTAAACCCATAACTACCTCCCAGCTGAGCTTCTGAAGAGCTCAGACGCCCTACTTGTGCGTTCATATCCCCTGCAAGTGCTATGCTATCTGAACTAGTAGCACTGCGTAGTAGCGCGTTCAGTTCGTGATAGAATGTGTCCTTGACAGCATTAGAGCTGCAGTCAATGGGAGCATAAACGGAAATAACAAACATACAGCGTTTTGTACTAATTCGTGAATCAACCTTAGGTGATGTCGTCAAACGGGCTGCACATAAACCGCTGTTCCCCGGAATCCAATCAACCACCAATGGCTCAGCCTTGGAGCTGAGAATGATACCTACACCAGCTTGACCCGTGAGTGCTGCATCGGCGTCTCCGGATGCGTGTAACCAATAACGAGAGGATAAGCCGGGTGCAGTCAATTCAATAACCCCGTTAGGGTCATTGATCCTAGTTTCGGACACACAACACACATCAACACCCAGTGTGTCCAAGGTGCGTTCGAGTGCAGCCTGCTGACCTGTTTGTCTTAGAGTGCGGACGTTGAATGTCGCCATGGAAACGGGATAGCGTGGCCTAATAAGGTACTTTTGCCGATAGGTGCTGTGGGATGGTGGCTGCAGATGGTACTACTCCAGTAGGACTTCGGTTGCTGTCAACTAAGCTGGGAATTATAGAAAGAAGGTTAGTACTGGCGGCCGGAATGGGAGTAAGAGAAAAAGGTGGAAAAGAAAGAAGGGAGGCGCCAGCAGTAGCATGTTTTCGCTTATCCGCCCTGCTGTATGCATCAGATAAGGCGATCCTTGATAATCTGCGCGACGGCCGATGCAGGATGAAGTTTGGGTTTGAAAAAAAGTCATGGTTGTATGTGGGCTGCGATACTGCCAGGGCTCCCAGGCGGTCGCATGCTGACCTGCCATTAATAAGGAACCTTGGTTTATGAGCCGTGTTGCACCTTGCTCCTTCCTAAATGCTGTCCACAGGGTTATCTGTTGAACAGCTGAAAACCTTTCATGACCTGGCGCAATTTGAAGTCAATTGTGCTCTTTAATTTGCTCTCTTGTTCTTCACCGTTAGCACTCTCATTCTTGTTTTCCGTGTTTGCTGCCCCCTTTGAAATGTACATATCTGTTACATCTTTCCTTTTTCTATTATCATTATTTATTTTCGAAGGTGCTACCTAGGATACCTAGACCCACCGTACTTCGTCAGTGAGATTGCTGCCATTCGACAGAATCAGACGTATAGAGCGTGTTGTTTGTGTGAAATACATCGCCAAAGATTGGAACTTAGGATTTTACAATATATCCTATCTTTTTCATCGGCTCAGAGATGATTCTGCTATACGGCGTTACTTGCTTAAGAATGGAATCTGGAAGAGTGATATTGTCATTCGTAGAGCACTATATCTCTATGCCTCCGGCATGCTTTCTTCACTGTTCGATGTAAGAGACGGTACGACGGTGTGTCCGGTATCCGCACTTCTACTCTCTTTTGAAACTAGAGGGCTTTAAGAGTTTGGCTTATAGCTCATTCCACGGAAACTCTCGATAGACTTAATTTACATCGATATCATTCTCTCACTTATTGAAGACTTGTAAAGCGTGCAACTGATTCTGAATGGCTTTTTAATTGATGAACCGTTGCCTGCTATGTGGCTTCCTCCCTTTAAGTGTAAAGTGCTGCACCGTGATCAACACTCACTTGTTCCCACTGGTTAAAGTACCCAACTTGGACAGTGGGTACCATTATCTACTTGGTGCTTCATCTCTGGCACCGGCATTGTTGGAGGGGCGCTACCTTTTTTCATCTGCAAAGCTGGCTCGACGTTGGCTAAGCCTAGACATTCATGGCGTCGTCGGGGTGCCTTTCTGTCTGTCGCTAAAGGATTTGCTTTACAACGCCTCATTTCCAGTTTCGTTGTTGTATGGAAAATACATTTGGTCAACCCCCGTAGGTGACATGCACCGTGTTTCGGTTTTCGGAAATAGGTAGCTGTGGAGGACCGCCCATGTAGGGCTTAATTGGGAGAGAACACGCAGTACTCATGCGTCCACTTGGCAACATCACATGAAACCACGCCGTCAGTTCTATGTATCTTCATGACTCGAAGTGCTTGTAGATATGGCGTACTACCGAAAGAAATGGCGCCGCGATATATATATATATATATATATATATATACATTCTACCGATATATCGAAACCTTTTTCACATGGACCTAGTGCACTCTCCTTTATGGGTTTGCACTTCTACTTAGTTCTAGCTTGTGACGAATGTTCTCATGTTCACGTTTTGTAATTGCCGAATCGTCGCGGCCCAGATGACCATCATTGCTGCGGGCATCGGTACATGCTTGTCATTCCAAAAAGCGTCTAGCTGCGCAGATGACATGGCAGTAGGGTGTGAATAGATCGACTGAGATACTTGATCGAGTTGGTTCACATATTATTTCCATGAATGGACTTCGGTTTCCTCCTCATCAGCATCTATCGGTCATGCGTTACTCTTGAAACCAGGGATGTTGTTGCATATGGTCTTTTGCAGTTATGTCAGCTTCTCATCCGTTAATTAGAATTTGCCTTTTACTGTCTGTTTTACTAATGTATTCTTTCGTATTTTTCTTTTTAATAACATGACATGCCCAAAGACCACGAAGCTGATGCCGATTAGTTCTATTATTGTGGTTTACTTTTCCCACCTGACCGAGCCACGGTTAGTGCACCTTATTTTAAGAGCAGTTCAAAAATATTTACCATGGGTCCATCGTATGTAGGGATAGATCGGGGGCACTAGTAACGTTGCAACTCAATTTTTATATAGGATTCTCTGAATCAGTAGTTGCAACCACCCTTACCACGAGGCTTATTATTCACTATCCTTATCGATCGGCTGGGATAGAAATGAGATGCCATTTCAGACGAACAATCATGTTGGATCTGATAGGCTCATGTCGAACGTATCCACTTATTCAAAACTGAACTTCATTTGGCACTGGCAGTACGCCGGCACGCAGTACCGACCCTTTGCTAAAGCGCAACCACCACCAGTCGCGCATATACTCAGGATACTGCAGGGATCGCCCTGTCCTCTACGTAGGCTCGAACGTGCGACCTCTGGATTACAAGGCAGGCTTGCAATCCTTAAGGCCACAGGCCGGCGAATTTTCATTGATCTTGGTGAAATACCTTAGCTGTATGTTCCACCGTAAAACAGCCGTCCGTCGTATCGCATCTTCTGGCACAGTGTTCTTTTGTTATTGAATGTAGAAAGCCATCTTGGATCTACCGGAGCGGGATCACTCTGTCCATCGGTCTGCCGAGAAGAATTCTGACAAACCGAACAGGCTCGACGTTGACTCCAAGTTATCCGGTGAATGTTACTCTTCCAAAAGTAAGGAACATTTCTATCCAGTTATATTGTTGACTGCTTCTCCTTATCATTGGTTGCCGTATTATTTTTCATTCTGCACTTATTTGCCCCTTTGTGGATAACGGACGTTCAGGCGTTCAGTCCAAAGCCGATCACTTTGTAAAATCCATCCATCTTTCTTGAAGGCCCCGCACCCAAAGCTCTTCTATCGGCGCCATCGTTTTACGGTCTAACATGGCTATTCAAACGATAATAACGCAGTTTACATCATCAGGCATGTATAGAATGACGCTGGTCATTGTCATGTGTACTGTACACACTGGGTGAGAGCCTACCAGCCCATCACATCCAATTTACCTGAGGCCGAAGGTGATTGGGTGACGGGTACCCCGAAGCAGCCGGATGAGACAATGCTTTCGAGTGGAGTGCTGAACTAGTTTGCATATCTCCACTCACTACAATGTGAATCCACATGGGGATAGACAAGCTATCATGTTCTCCGAATTATTTACTCAGATGCTGAGATACATTTAACGCGCTGCCACCACACACCGCTGTTGACTTTGAGGTGTTACGAATTGGCTTAACACCGGACGAGGCAGAGTTTACTGTACAGCACTCCGAACATCAGAACAAGTAGTGAGCGGTGCAACATTGCGATTCCCCAAACTGTTCGCACTTGTTCTTCTTAATATTCTCACCTATGAACCGCCAATTCATCCAAATTGACCAACGCATGCTCTTTATCGCTGTCCTTTGTGTCAGCGCCCTCTTCAATCTCACACCGTTGTGTTCCACACGCCCCCAACTGGGTCACTCTAGTATCAACCGTTCGGCCCTTTTTGACAGATATTTGCGACACCGATTGGTGGTTTTCCGCAGGTTTGATTTATCTTTCGTTCGCTTGATTAATCATCAGTATAAGAAATAGCTTGAGACTCCTAATTTTTTTATTTTTCACATCCAATTGATGCGAAATGGAATTACTAAGCCACCTCCATGTTAGGGTATAACCTGAATACATTGAGTGACATCTTAGGCGGTATATACATATATAGTGCGCGGCGCAACATTCCGATTCCCCAAACTTCTTAATACAACAGCAATAATAATAATAATACGTATATTTCCAGATTGTGCGAGAAGCTGTCCTTGGATTGTGGACAGATCATGGGTACAATAATTATCATGTTCATGCATGAGTGAGATATGTAATATGCCCCTTAGATCAACGGACATAAGGAGGCTAGTTACGTTCGACCACCGGTGCCTTCGCAATTTAACTCACATCTGGTGGGAACACCGAGTAAGCAACGTGCGTGTTCGACGCCTTGTTTACGGCACAGGAAAAAGAAATGAACCGCTCAGCACAGTTATTTCACGCACCAGGTTCCAATGGCCCGGCCACGTATTACGCATGCCGGCCCACCGACTCCCGCGACCTGCATTGTTTGCGCGCTGGGTATGTTGATGGAATAAGAGGAGGGGTGGCCAAGCGATGACTTGGTCGAGAAGAATGAAGGCCCTCACTTCGAAGCTGGCCTCGGTTGGGTCTTCAAGGCTCCCTGGTTGGAGTCCGAAAGACTATGAATACGTATGACTAGATACATTAGCTGATATGGCTAGAAGCCGACGTCAGTGGCGTTTGTGCTGAGTTTCTTTGTCGCTCCCCATCCCTCTTTGTCCCCCACTTCAACCAAGATCTCACTATTTCGCCTTATGTAATTCTGCATGGTGTTTTTTGCCGCATAGTAGTCGGCTGGTAGCTTACCGGAAGGATACCTATCCGTTACCGGTAGCTCAGTTGACTTGCACCCGTTGCATTTTTCTCTATCCTTTTTTCTGTGTATTGCAGCACAGTAGTTGAGGTGTTTCCCACCTCTAGCTAACGTGTATAGTGATGATGATGATGTAATATGGGGTGTATAATGTCAAAATGTGCCCCATGCTGAGGCTGATGTTGCATTCTTGATGCTTCTTCATCGCAGTTGGGCTAAACCAACATACACTTAAACTAGGTCTTTTTAAGCTGGCTAAATTTCATTCCACTTTATTTGGTTTGTTCTGCCTACCTGAATACTCTTCTATTAACTGGCCACGCTGCTTACATTATTTGGGCTTATGTTCGGTAACTTTGATGCGTTTGTGGCATTTTTAACTAACTTGCGGACATTTTTTCCTTATCGCGTATTCGTTGCTAACCAACTTACTTCATATGCTAATTTAGCAAAGTGTTATGCCACCGTATCTGTATGCATTATTGGATTTGTTTTATTTCATCTTGTCGTTCCAGGTGATTGGCTGTTGCTTGATATCCCCGGTGTGTATGCGCTTGATGTGCATATTGACAAGGTGCCTACCTGTCTATTACCCACTACCTCGTCCATACCGGCTCCAGGAGACAGATGGTCATTGCTGGAGGGGACGGGGTGCACGGTCCTTGTGGCCGTGCTAGGCTCGAAGAGTGATTCCATGCACTCAGTGTGGAGCGGACTACGGTCCAGCCACCGCCTTGTGTGCGCTTGATTTCCCAAATACAGCGTGCTTGTGTTTGCCTGTGAAGGAGTGTGGGCCGACTCCGTTGATGAAACGTGGCTCCCATCCACATGCCTCCCAGTCTTATTCCTTCGGGTTTACACTGGATATGGGGTGTGTGGTTGGATCTGTGGGTGGTGCAGCGCAGGTGATCCCTCTGTAGACGCAGGCGTCTGTTGGCTGGCCACAGTGACAGGCTATTTCGAAACCGGATGCCGCTAACCATATAGTAAGCACACCTTAACCCTTACCTGACCACTGTATTCGAACAGAAGCCTCATTGTTAGCGTGGGTTGAATTCCGCCTTAGGTGTCACTCTGAATGTAGTCAGGTTATGTGTGTTATGCTTTGCGTCCCTCATGAAATTACCTTGAATTTGTGTTCTTTTTATCGTTGTCTGCTTAGGCGGTGCAACACAGCAATTACTATCTAGGCTTCCTCTAATCAACCTTGCATTTTCCATATTATGCATGCTTTTCGAACTCGTATCTTGCTTTCTAATCAACATTGCTCCATGGATATCTTTTCCAGCGCATACAATGAGCTTAATGTATTTGGAAATCTCTGTTTTGGAGAGTTTCGGGGCCGCTTTCTCCCAACGCTGCACTCCACGACCGACCAGTTTCGTCCTGCTTTGGACTCGTCAGGTAGTAATCGCTTCAGCTGAGCAGAGAGCCCAACGCAATCCAGACCCACGGCAGGTACTCTGTGATGCAATAACGCGCTGTGTCAAGCGCTGCTGTAGAGATCTGGCCTAGTGACCAAGACGAAAGCCGTCAACCACTTTGTTGGGTTCTCCTTTCAGTTCAACCTGTCTCTTCCTGATGAGTTCAAATAAAAACGAAACCCCTCGGTCGTTGTTCAGTGTTGGGAGAAAGCAGCTCCGTAACTGTCCGCTCCGGATGCGGTCCCGGTGATCGAAATGGCGTCAGTTTGCTTCAAAGCAAACTGTAGCCTCAATCGGGATGGCGTGTGGCAATTCAGACCCACGGCGGGTACTCTAAGCTCTAATAATGATGTATCTGTTTCCTTACGATAACTACATTTTATTAAGCTTTAGGAGAGCGCATTGATGATACGAAGGTGCACTGTCTTAGAGGTCTGACAGGAATGTACAAGATGTCCCTATCTTTCACACATTTCGTTAGCAATTTTCATGAAACTGGGGACAACCGACAAATTTCTAAACGTTAACATGTATTCCAAGCCATCTGGTCTAACCAGTGCACTTTAGTTTATGCAGCCAGTCCACCAAAACAGCGTTATGAATTCCAGAAAATCAGCGAGGACATTGGCAAAATAAGCGTGTCTCATACGGAAATGTTGAAGCGACTAACCATAAGGCGATCAGGAATCACTGTCAAAAGAGACAAGAAGATAACGTAAACTGACTTATGATATCAGCATTGCTCTCTTTTTCTCGGGTGAGTAGATCCATGACTTGGGATCAAATAGGGAGCAAACAAGAGGATATATCGTTGTGCAGCGACGCTACTGAGGTTCTAATAGTTACTTCTACGGAATTTCATCCAAATATTTTGATTAGCAATGGTTACGCGATCTACTTTTGCTTCTTTCACAAAGTTGTGGAGTTAAAGGTTATGGTGTCATCGTTTTTAGTAAGTTTTTTGACTGCACCCTCCATCACTTTCTCTAGATTTTGCCACTTTTCAGCAACTGTTCTTACTAACTGCAGTGCATCCTCCACACTTAATTACATGAATCATAAATGATCATTTTGAACGAGTTCCGTTCCTTTTCTGTCCAATGTTCATTACTTGATTGTACTTCATTTTGTGACACCAGTAACACCCATGGATTCTACTACATCGCTGCAATTGCACACTGATTCACCTGGCCTGATGTAGCTTGTGTGTCAAAAGCGAAACGTTCCCTAACAACTGTACCAACCGATTGTCTCCAAATCTCTCTGATCTCGGAACCTACGTGGCTTCCTCATTTTCCTGCCTTAAATGCTCATGCACCTCCACCTTCTCCCAAACTTATCTCCGTTTATACTTCTCTTCTCATATACTTCCGATACCAATCTCACCGATTCCAAAAGAGTCCAGCCGGTGGCCCTCTTTCGACGCAAATCTTCATTCTGGCTGACAGCCCTCAATGTCCGAACCCTCTTACAGATTAGGCAGCAAGCTGACATAGCACGCACCCTAGAGCACCTCACTATTGATGTTTGTTGTCTTTCCGAGATTCGGTTACAAGACTTCAGAAGCGTAGTTTAACTTGACTTTCCTGCTGATCTCGGAACCAAATCTTTCCGGCTTGTCTAGTGACACAACTGCAGCCGACTTGATTGGTGTTCACGTCGTATTGGGTGACAACACTGTGTCTGCGCTGCTCGACTGGTTCCCGAATGACAAGCCGATTGTGTGCGGTTCGACTTTAAGACTCATGATTGATCAACGAACTTCGAAGATAAAGGAAATTTGTTTGTGACCTCCGCCTACGCCCAAACCAACCGCAGT